GGTGATAATAAAGTAGACTAGATAGAAAGTGACCGTGCCTGAGAAACTGCCGTTTGTTACTGTAACTTACACAATCCTCAACAGTTTACGAGGCATGATGAAAGGCATTTCTTTGTGAATAACGATTTGCCAAACCGTTTGAAGCTTTTTTAATGGAAAACAAAAGATCGTGTGATCATGGCAATTCAGAGGATTTTGTTTAGCAGTATGTTTTTCCTCCGCTTTCATTGATGGACACAATCAACCAAAGAGCATTATACTGGAACACCAGTCTTTGGCCAAATCATTCTTCGAAAGTTTAAATGAAGCTACGTTTTATCTTTTTTGCAGTGCAACTTTTACAACACATTATGGACCCAGCGCTAAAATTTTTTATTCAAAATTTTGACGGAGTTTTCCAGTAAATTGCATCCCTTAATGAACGCAGATGAAAGATATAATGAACAACATAATCTTTTGAATTGTGACAATCAGAGAGATAGTATCTGGACTCAATTCATGCAATATGCCACAGATACCATGAGAAATAAGGTATTCATATTCTGCACAGCTTCAGAGGCGCAGAAACATTTTTTACATGAACTAAGAGCCTCCAGTTTCTACCTGCTTCAGAGCCGGCCTTAATGCTTGTAAATATATACTACCAAATGTAATTCTCATCACGGCTTGACAGTAACTATACGTTATGCCAACCATACGCTGAACATTATGTGGTAGTGTGTTGCAAGAAAGTATTTGAAATTGCAAAGGTTTATTAATAAAATGAGTCAACAGTCAAAAAACAACAAAAGAATGTTGCCAGTATAAACATATGCGTCAAACTTGCATGACAATAATTATAAAAATCTAATCAGGATTTGACTATCTCATTTGCTGCTTTTAAGCGGCCGAACTGACTGTGCAATGAAACGTGCGAATTTGCATCGGAAGGAGGGACACCTTTAGTTCTGTTGGTGAGTGCGATGACGTTGCGTTGCCTGGCACCTTCAGGTGGCCACCAGTCAGATTTGTCTCTTCAATCGCCTCTACATCGAAAGTCGTAAACAAACCCTTAAATTAAAACGTGTTAGCATATCAGCAATTCTGACAAAAGGCACAGTAGAATAAATCCAAAAATAATCTTTCTGCAGATACTCATGTACATTCTAGAAACATGTGATGCCTTGATGCGCTATGAAGCTCATTTCTACAGCTTTCAAGCAAACACGGAACATTCTGACTGTGTGATGGCACAACGAACAAGCATGTGCTAACAGCCAGTGACCTTGAAATGTGTCAAGGAACTGATGCATCTGAATCTTTAGTTGGTTAGATGAACGCGTTAAAAGGTTCGAGAAAACTTTAGATCGAACAGCAAGGAGCACAATATCGCGAGCATGTGAAGAAGCTTGCGCTAAAAAATTCTAGGCTTAGAAATGACGTATGCGACAAAGAGAAAACGATAATTCGAAGTATATTCGGCGAAGCGGAAGAATTCCGGTACAAGAAGGGGGCCATCAATGTTAGACCTGAGTCCATTTCTGTTCTGGATGGAGACAAAAATGATAACTAAAAATGTGCAGGAAGCAGCCCAATACGACATGCTCTATGCATATGACGCAGTGCTGATGAGTGAAGGCACAAAAGCAATAGAAGCAAAAACTGACATATCGACAAGAGTCCTAGAGAAAAACGACATTCGATTCTGCAAAGTAAATGAATATACGGTACGCTATTACGGTGCGGCGCAAACGAAAGAAAAACCAATCAGTGAAGGTAACGGGTAGAGCGCCGACTCAAGACCAGGAATTCAAGTATTTTTGTTCCATCCTTAAAGACAACGAAATAAAATAGGCCAGAAAAGCATGGCTCAAATGGAATGCGATAAAAAGGCCCCAC